TATTAGGTTGGAGGCCATCGCTATTAGGTTGGAGGCCATCGCTATTACGTGGAGGCCATTGCTATTGGGTTGGAGGCCATCGCTAGTAGGTTAGGGAGACTGCAGGCTATACCGCATTGATCTGATGAACCGATGCTGTTGCACCTGAGGAGCGAATTCAAGAGCGATTTGACGAAGCGTGGCCACAACTGGCGAATTGCTCAGTTGATAATGTTTTTTTTGTCTACTTTCAGCATTGATTCACATAATGCCACAATGCTGTTTTTTAAGATTCTAATAATCCTATTGCGTTGTTTTCCTTTCAGGTATCGATTGGCATTGGCAGCATCAAATCACATCAAACAAGATTGTGCTTAGTGGTTTGAGGGTAGTCACTTGAATTGACACACGAAGTCAGAACATGTACCTACAGTAGCCAGTAGTAGGCCTAAGGGATCCTAAGGGCCTAAGGAACTCCAGTGATCCGTTTTCATTTGGACTTGGTTGTGAAGAAGTTTCGTTTCCGTTTCTCCAATGCCGCAAACCTGTGGTTTTTGTGCCCAATTCTCTCCTTGAGTGTTGGGTTGGAGGTAGTCAGTTCTTTTGGAAGTTTATATAGTGGTGGTATTATATAAGTGCTTGGGAAAGTGTTGAGCTGCATTTTTTCCTTGACTTTGACACGTCCATATTTAGCACCGTCTAGCTGCCGGACATCGTGACATTGTCTATTCATGGTGACATCGTTTATTCATTCCATGTTTGGTTGTGTGACAGGACCCAAAAGCCCTGCCGATCAGCAAAGACAGACAGATCTTGAACACATTGTAGAATATATTTTGCTTTGGTTTGGCTGAAGTGGTCAGTGAGTCATGATGGCAAGTATGCACGTACGTGATAAGTGTTTTAGGAGGGAGGATTTGAGTGGTAGTGGCTCGTCTTGGGATTTAGAACATTTAGTCCGTCTGCGAGCGAGCTGCCTGGCCAGTCCGGCGGCGATCATTCAGCACTCTTGCCCCTGCTGCTTCCTTCCCATTTTTGCGTTTTGTTTTCCGTGTTGCCCATCCAATTCTCGAAGCGCGCTGTTTGAATCGTCCCAGCCATCCTACAAACACAAAAAGTAGTTTCTATGTACCTGTTACAGCCACCAAAGTCCAAAGAGAAGTGCATGTCCAAAGAGTTTGAGGTTACAACGTTTGCCGGGATCCAAGGAAGTTGTGGCCTTCTGTCGTTGACAATGTTTTTGCTCCTTGTCGTTGCAGACAGGTCTTCCTGCTCCATGGTCTTCTTCCAGTTTTTTTCGACCATGTCAGCACTGTCAGTGGTCTGATCCTCGCTTTGCCCAGAGTTGTGTGCGCTGACTTGGCTGTGGTCACAGGTGCTTGGTGCACTCAGTCCAGCTGTCCAGTCCTACAGAGCGGCGCCGAGTATTCACTCATTTTGCATCCATTATATTCCTCCAAGTGCATCGCTACTAGGAGCAAGTGCATCGCTACTAGTAACAAGTGCCTTACTAGTAGTAACAGAAGCGCTAGTAGAAACAATAAGAAGCTATAGACTTTAATTAGAAAACATCTTGATGTCTCACTCATTGAAACTATGGCACTGCAGTTTCGAGCAGTTTGTGGGACATGTGAAACGGCACATTTCGAGGCTGGCATGGCTGGGACCTCTTGAACCGAATGGCATGTGCATCGCGAGCAACTTAGTTGAGCCATTCATTCCAATCTGCGTTTACTGATAGTCAAGCTACAGATCTCCAAGCCAGGCTTGGATTCTACAGTCTCTTCTCTGCTCGAATCCCAGAGCAGTAAACTCTGTTGCATTCTTTGAGCCATATCTGCTTGTCACAGGTGATGGTCCATCAGTTGCAAAGGGAGTACCCCGAGGCAAGTCCAGGGCAGAACTTTGTCACAAACCCGATATAATAATCTAAGCTGTTCTGCTTCAGGATGAGCTACCAACAGCCAGCATCACCATCAGGGCATTTATTCGTGGCGTCCTTCTTCTGCGAGCAGTCTCACGAGCATTTTGCTTTTTGGCAGCGTGGCTCTACTTGCTCCTGATCTTGGATTGCTTGATTGACTGCATTTGGTGGCATGAAGGTTCAGGAACACCATTGGGTATTCTGGGCCCTTTAGCCTGGCTTCTGAATGCCGACGGCCATGAGCTTTCACATCCATTTGCCAATGAGAAATCCATGATATTCTGCATGAATTTGATCTCCGTTATCTCTCAGCAGCGTTTGGTCGAGGTGTTAGCTCGTCGAGAAGTGTTGCTACGATTAATTGGTGCCGAACGAGTAATGGCCTCGACTATTTGCTTGCTGCTGAAAGGTGTGTCCGTGGCATGCACTCCTTCTAAAAGCCAAAACCCCATTGCTGAGTTCCTGGTACGGGTTGCCCCTCCTCCAGCTGCATGTGTGGCAATCATAGCTCTGCGTGATCATGCTATGCCACTTGGAATTGCTGTGGTGGCCACGCCTCGGATGACTGTGACGTTTGGCAGTTCTAGTTGCCTTATCCTCGGACTACTTGGAGGTGCTTATGCTGCCCACGCAGTGCTGTCTGTGTGGTACCTGCACCGAGCAGACTTGGATTCTGCCGCACTCCGTTTGGCCATGCTCGTGCCTGGGGGTGTGTCAAGTCAAGCCAAGGGATTGCTGAGAGGTGTTCTGGCAGGTGCACACAGACGAGCTGTTCAGATGATGGCCATGGGGATTTTGCAGAGGGCCTTTCGCTGGCTGACCCAGCGCTGAGTCCTGGCAAAGGGAAATGTTTTACAACGTGCTGTTTGAAGACGCACGTTTACCTACAATGGGCCCTTTGTGCTGAATTGTTGTGAACCTTGGCAGCAGCCCTGCTACCTTGGAGAGTGCAGGCAATTCAAACGTATTTCTTCTGAAGAGAGGAACTGTTTGCCAAACATTTTTTTCTTTGGCACAAGGTGGAGTCTGTCAGAAGATTGATTGTAATGTCAAGAGAATGCATTGGCATTTGTTGGCTTTGACTCCCTGAATTCAGTGCCAAAAGATTTGTACATAGTTCTTGCAAAGGTATCCATATTTGGACTTTGGGTTGTTGAAATTTGAAAAGATGGATGCCTTTGTCGGCCTTGGGCATCATCATGGTCTTTTAGATGTGCTGGCCTACTTGTTGCTTCCTTGGCCTGTTAGTGCTGATCTCTTTGCGGCTCATGCAGTGCATGGGGCTGCCAAAGGTCAAAAGCACAGAGAATCATTGGATGATAATATGGATTGGGCTGGCAGATACAGACAGCTGCTGTGGCTGCAAAGCAACTGTCAGCCCAGGGTGCAAATTCCTTCACTTAGTCGCATAGACGAGAATAGAGCTGTTGCAGCGTCCTTTGCTCCTAGTAGTAAGGCCAGGAGCCCCCAGTAGCGTGCTTTGCTCTTCTATTTTGGTATTTTGGTGGTCACCGGAATTTGCAAAATTGGATCGATGGGACTTCTGCAGCTTCAAAGTTGAAAGAATTCCTTTCTTGAGAGCTCTGGACATAGCGCACAAAAGGGCCTGATGCTGAAGTTGCCTGAGGCGAGCAGCAGGACTGGAGACATTTTAAGTGAAGAGCTGTGAGCTGCAACACCTGACAAGTTGAAACGTTGTAGCAAGAAACAAGGCAAATTGTGACTAGGTGTGGGGAGCATCCAGAATCTTAGAGTCTTGGAACCAATCAAGATCAAATCGTCATTTTCCAGATATATAATTTGACACGAACTTGGCCACAATGGCTCACAGCGTGGTGCTAAAGGGTGCCACCCCGGGCAGACCATCTCGGCGATAGCTTTTGCGCTCCGCCTGCTTCACCACAAGGCTTTTGAAACACTTTGCACCTTCAACATGTTTGAACACTTTCTCATTTTCTTGTCTACTTTCAAAGACCACACTCCATGGTGCATTCTTGCAGAATATATGATTGTTCGATCCCACACACACATACATCGAACAGAGGGAACAATGCAGCTCCTGGGCAAAAATCTGACTGACTGAGCAGCGTGAAGGGAGATATATTCACAAAGAAAAGAACACTACATCTCTCCCAGACTGGAGCTGCAGTTCCCTGGCCTTAAAGAGATCCAATACATTCGTCTCCCGGAAGAGGTCACAACCCAATGGGCTACGGGCAAAAACCATTCATTTGCAGTAGGCAGCAGTCACCCTTCTGCTCTTAAAGCCCTGTACGCCATCACCGCAACTGGACAGCTGCAAGTCATAGTTTGTGCCAGCAGTGCATACGACGTACACGTCTGAGTGCCCAAACCAATTTCTGTGCTGTGTACATTGGACAGAGCACTCATCCTAAGTATGCTCTTGCAAGACCCGTGCGTTCGCAACTCCGAGTCTGTGTCTGCAGTAAAATACAACATAGGCATAAGATGGCTTTGCGACTTGTGTTGCGAAACAAAAAAGATGAGCACCACAAACACGCCACGCGTTGCAGCCAACAATCGTGTGAGCAAGGTGCCTGGTTGTCGCGCAAGCGTGTTTGTAATCGCTTGTTTAAGCACATGTGTACTGCCTCCACACATCAGGCTCATCAAGCCATGAGCTTCTATGACGCTGCCTTCACAGTCGTTGGGCACTCTGTGTACCCAGCTTATGACGGGAGAGGAACTTGGGCCACCAGGCGCTTCCGTCGCCCTCCCGGACACAGCTGGTGCAACAACGTTGGCATGCTGGAAGCCAAGTTCACCACTGGGAGACAACATGCTGCAAAGGTTGTATCATTCTATGCAGTGCATAATTAATAGCAATTTTAGAATCACATGCTTTTTGAAAGGCCCGGATTCGAAATGAACTTGTAAGCGTTGTTAACAAGTCGCAGGCCAGAACATCATCGAAGTTGATCCAGGGCCCGAATTGGCAACCACAGGCCACCGCCGGATCAAGATATATCATGTAACATGGCTAGTGTGGATCGTGGGGGTAATTTTATGGCTGAAGCATTTGCATGCAAAGGGACCTGTGGTCATCCTATAAATGATACTGTACTGATTTTGAGCAGTTGAATGAACTTTGCCAAGGACCAAGGTAAATACTTAAAACTGGTATGCCATGAGGTTATGCGTTGTATTGGTTTGAGGTCTGGGTTGAGAGCTTCCTTCTCTACCCACTCACTGTGAAGTCTTGTCAGATTGCCTTCCAGGCTATGCTGGCATCAGCGAGTGCAGGTGTTGGGGCTGTTGCTGCATGCGCACAGAGGAGCGGCGGAGATAATTGTAAAAATGCATAGATTTGCAACGCGCGTTGTTGCAGGAGGCCCAGACCTTTTCCGAGGTCGCAAATCAAGCGACGGGCATTTTTCGATGCCTGATGCTTGGTTTGCATGGAATTCAATTCTTGACAAACCAGGAATGGTGCAGTAATGACATCTAAGGAGCCCTGATACTTCTTTGGGACCCCTTTGCCAACGTGTTGTAATCTGCTGTAACGAACGCTATGAACCTGGAGCTGAGACCAGAACCTCATAGCTAAGTGGAGTATATACAGTCATTGTTGTGACGAACCTACAGTAGCTGCAGTTACTTGGTCCTTCTCCTTGCACCTTGTACACATCACAAGCATGTTTGCTCAGTTTGCATCGCAGCCTTCGAAAAAGACTGTCATTATCACTGGGGCGTCTTCAGGACACGCGATTCCTGCCTTTGCTCGTCATTCGATTGAAACGAATGGCTGGCACAGGACTTGGACTTGCAGCGGCGAAAGAGCTTGTCAAGAGCGGCGAGTGGCTTTGGGCCCTAGAATAGATTGTCACAATTAAATGCTCAAAAGTCAAGCTTGGTGAAACTGATGAAAATGCGACGCACATGACATGATTTCAGGCGAGTGATCTTGGCATGCCGTGATTTTGTCAAGGCAAGATGAGATTTGTATACGGTATACCTTCAAGAACCACTGCGTGTTTGCAACCAGTCAATGACCCCATGAGGCTGAACGTGTTGCCAGGGAGAACAATTTCCCTCAGGAGAAGAACATTACTTCAATTTGAGCAGCCATAAGCATGTCTAGCCATGATATCTTAATGATTCATTCAATGATAAGTCAGCCAAACAGCACAATGTCAGGAGAACTACCTTGTGCTACACCTTGATCTTGCTGCAAACAGCAGCGTTCGGCTTGCGAGTTTGAGAATCGAAGTAGAGAGAATCAGGTAGGTAGGTCCAGTAGCTTCAGACTTGGGCAGTCGACAATGTGTTAGGAGGTTTTCTCCAGTTTGATGTGCTGGTTGCAGGTGAGACAGTTTGTAACCACATTTCGCTCGCTCAACATTCCGTGATCACCTCAGTACCTGACAACCCATCAGTTTGAAGAGGAGACGAAGAAGCAAATAGACAAGCGAACAAAGGCGACCAGGAAAGGAGAAGGAAGCCAAAGTGACCAAAGATAGGTTTTTCATGTGCAATGGTCCAGGCTTGATGCTTTGGTGTGCAATGCGGCTGTCTACTTCCCAAACGCTCACAAAGAGGCAGCGATCAGAGTGGAATGAGTTACACCTCGGATGACACTGGCAAAGTGAGTGCGCCACAGGGAGCCTTCTTTCCTGGGCTCTTCCCAGGCGCCCCGCTTCGACGATCGTCGATGTTCTTCGACGCATTGATTCTTTCGTTTCTCTCTTCGATCCGTCTCCAGGTGGTGGTCCCAGGTGGTCAGCAGATGGCCATGAGTTGAGCTTCGCGACCAACTACTTAGGCCCCATACAAATGAGCTCTGAGATGGTGACCCTTTGGGCATTCATATCGCCAGGTCACTTCCTGTTGTGCAATCTTTTGCTGGAAGGCTGGACTGAATCCTTTTTCTTGTTGTGGGCTAGCCTGCGAGGCACTGTGAGGTACACAGCCTCTGAGTATGAGGAAGTTACAAAGTTACAAGGAAGCAGAAGACGCCACCGCAATCGCATCCGTTCGGATCAAATTTAGGGGCATCAAGTCACCACTCATGAAGACCTCAGTGTTTCTGCAGACCTCAAGAAGAGCACCGTGAAGCCAGCTCGCTGCATCATTCTTGGCACAGTGACTGCCAGCATCAACGACAAGGAGGCGCTTTCATGCATTAAGATCAGGTTAGCTGGTTTCGACCGGACAACTTCTTTTGTTAAGGTCGGCGGCATGATCCCTCCTGTGGCGGATTTGGGTGACCTGAAAGGCTTCTTGGCGTGCTGAGAGTTTGTCCTTCCTCGAGCTTCAAAGCCTGGACGGGCCTGGATGTTGGATTAGGTCTCGAATCTGGTATGCAGAAGCCGGTCCCTGCCCAAGCATCGAAGCTTGGGAGGAAGTGACAAAACTAAGCAGTATAACGAGCATGTTGCAGCAGTGATTGTGCTGTAGTGACTGCCCAGACCACCATGATCGACAATGGTCGATTCAATGGAGCCAAAGCATACAAAGACAGCAAGGTGCTGCGACCGAGAATGTCGAATTGATTTCTCCCGGTTTTCCGAGCATCGCTTAACTGGGGCTTAAAGGGCAGTGAGTTTGTTGGCCAAAATTGCGGTTCCTAACATTTGCTCCTTTTGCTGGGCTTTTTGGTCGGGAAGCTTTGCCTGGATACTGCTGAAGATCGCAGGTGTGCGATGTGATGCTGATGAGGGAACTCCACAAGCGTCATCATGCGAGCACCGGGATTGCTTTTTCGTCTCTCTATCCAGGCATGAACATGGGCCAGAATACAATCATTTTTGCTACTGCAACTTGAAATGGATCCTGCATGGAACAAGGAGCACTTTTGCTGCAACATTTGCCATTGGAAGGTTGCATCGCTGACACGAACCTATTCAGAGAGCACTATCCGGTGTTCAGGCCAGCACATCAACTTATACAGTCTGAAATTACGGGTCGTTCACTTTTATGGGTACTCGTAGTAAGAGATCCGTTCGCACACTTTCATCATATTTGCCATTTGTCAACGTGGTTGGCCAGAGCATTTGAGAGTCTTTGACCTGCCGCCATTGCCAGGTTTTTGTTTCCCATTTTGCAAAGGGAGGTCACCAACGCGTGCCTATGCATCAGTTCACCTTGCAATGATGCCTTTGTTTTATCGAATGTTTGCAGGTACGTGAGCGAAGAAGAGGCTGGAAGAAGATTGGCAAAGTGCGTTGCAGATCCAGCCTACGCTCAGTCAGGCAGGTTTTTCACACAATTGCTGCAGAATGCATCATAGTTGCAACAAGAGCGTGGATAGACAAGGTGTCTATTTTTCCTGGGGTGGTGAGTCCGACACTTATTCCATCTTATTTCAACCGGGTTCTGAGAGGTTGTTGGTTCAAGGTGCCACCCTTCCATCTCTGAGGTCTGGAACCGGAGGTGCAGGTGGGACTGATGCAGTGGAGAACATGGACGCCAGCAATGACAGGTTCTTGCAGTGCCCCACTCTGCTTAAACATCAATGCTCCAAAGAGAAGGGTTTGCTGAATCTATTTCCCCACATTTTTCGTTTTGGTTCATCCTTTTTTGTTGCGCCCACGTGAATAATGTTATCGGAGGGAAGAGCAACCAGAATATTAATGGACCCAAGCAAGATGATTTGGTGCCAGGGTCTGAGCCCGTTGACTCTGCCAGAAATTTGACCAAATGCTGCTCTGATTCCAGCCAGTCAAGACATGTATCCTCAGTGTTGTCGGGGATTTTCCCTGCAAAATACTTCGCTTACTTCGGTGCAAACGGTGAACACAACGATTCGACAAGGCTTTGGGTCGGCCTGTCGGTTGGAGTCGTGACTTCAGATCTTCAGCTTGGCATGTAATGGTCAGCGAGCAACCGCACTCTTTGCCCAAAGAGAACCAACCTTTCCACCATACCCAAACTTAGCCCTTTACAACAAGAACAGCTTGTCCGGCTTGCCCTACCATAGTTTTCACCACTGCCATGCACGTTCAAGTGCTTGTGTAGCAACGTTGATTGTCAGAATTTACATGAATTTACAGTTGACCCCGACGAACCACCACCGCCGCCGCCACCACCACCACGACGACCACGACCACCACGACCACGACCACCACGACCACGACCACCACGACCACGACCACGACCACGACCACCACGACCAGGACCAGGACCACGACCACGACCACGACGACTACCACGACGACTACCACGACGACTACCACCACGACTACCACTACCACTACCACACTTTCATCACACAAAGTCAATCGGGTCAACTGGATCAACTGGGTTCAACCGGGACAACTGGGTCAACCGGGACAACCTGTTCAAGTAGGTCAACCGGGTCAACCGGAACAACACATTTACCGGCCCCTTCCCCGATGATCCACTTGGAATTTACCAAGAGCAACACAACCTTCCTGTTGTAGAAATGTTGACTCTGCAAATTGTTCTTCTAAGTTCTTTGATTTTTGAGGCTAAAGGTTCTGAGTTATGAGTCATGAGAAGTCTGTGCAGTCCTTTTCATCTCTGACGTTGACAAAATGCAGGTACGGCAGCTTCCGAACTCTCAAAGAGAGCGAGATTGGTGGAGATGCTGGTGATGATGCAAGGTGTAAGAGGTGGGTTTGGTCATGTTGTCCGCGCCGTGCATTCGACTTCTCCAGAGGCTTTGGGAATTTAGCGAGAAGCTTGTTGGAGAGCGTTTCTCCTGATTTGGTGTGGGGGGCTCAATGGAGATTCAGTGTCGATGTCGCAGGTCTTTCACTTTTGGACCACAAGTGCTTGAGAGGCTTTGGGTGAATATGGTGAAGTGTGGTGTGAACCGCTTTGCGGCGAATCCGGCTCAAGCCTGGCAGAGCGACTGCGGAGCGACCGCGGAGCGACCGCGGAGCGACCGCGTGGTTCAGCCCTTCAGCCATGTTTGTCGCACCAGCTCCTTGGGTGAATCTTGCTGGAAGTACTTCAGCTCCTACTTGGGGGAGAAGTGAACTAGGGCAGCGAGGTTGTTCTAGCCACTGTGATCTTGGGCGTCACTGCTTTGGGAGTCGTGAAACGACATTTTCTTTGTGGAGAAGCTGCGTGCTGGGTGCTACAGCGCTGGCAGTGCGAGAGAGGAGCAGGGCTCGGCAGAGAAGCACGAAGCCCAAGAGCTATAGAAAGTTTCAAGCGTCTGTGAAAGTGGAAAAAAGGTCACTTCACAAATCGGGGGATGTACTAAGCACAGGAACTTTGCCGGTTGGCGATGGCTTTGAACTCTACTATGAGGAACATGGTCATGCGGATGGCATTCCTGCAGTCTTCTTACACGGGGGTCCTGGTGCAGGGTGCTCTCGGAGGATGGCACAACTCTTCGATCCGGCAAAATATCGTATCATTCTCTTCGATCAGAGAGGCTGTGGGAAAAGCACCCGGAAGGATTCCAGCAGTGCTGAAGAACAAATAGATGACAATACGACCTGGCACCTCGTGTCTGACCTAGAAGCTTTGAGGGAACATCTCAAGATCGACCGCTGGGTTGTGGCTGGTGGTTCTTGGGGAACTTGTTTAGCCTTGGCATATGCCAGTAAGTTCAGAGAGCGGGTGCTGGCTATGGCTTTGCGAGCAGCGGCTCGGATGCAGCGAATAAACGAGGTTGTGAAGACAGACACTGGGACAAACAGATCCTATCATATCCTATCGGACTTGTAATGTCACTGGTTTCTTCCATTTCATGTCTTCACGGCTTCTTGGAAAGAATCGGACTGTCATTTTGATGGGGGCTTGCTAACCGCTAGCTTGATCCCCCTTATCAAGTCTTGTGGGAAAGGTGTTTTTTGCGCTTCTGACTTCTGATCACCACGCTTATCTCAGACACATTTACCTTTTTGAGTTTGCTCCCTCCCGGCCTCTTTCTGATGCATTGCCTGCCTAGCTTCTTGACCATATAGACACGAAACTCGTTACAGTAATCACATCACAGACATGTTTGCACGTTGAACAGAATAGTGTCAGACATCCTAGGGTCGCCTCCAAAGGGTTCTATTCCCCCGAAGCTGATATCAAAGATATGGGGCTTTCTCAAAGCGATGCTCGGCTGAATGGGTTCTTTTTGAATGCCCAAACTCCAGACTTTGCGCAATGCCCGCCAGTAGTGTTTTGTTCGCAAGAAAGAGAAGGACGGGCCGGGTCGTGAAGTTGGAGTGCCTCAAGCAATGCGACACATGGGACATAATTTCGGTGGCATCCTCCGTTCCTTTGACACTTCTTCACACACTCTCTGAAATTGCGCACTGACTCGATTGCAGTTGGCCACACGCCAACCTAGGTAACCATAATCCTGAGAAAACCATGTAAGGGGGGTCTGAGTATCCTGGAGGTCCAACCTAGCAAAGAGAGAGGCCCAAATTTCAAAGTTCATAATCGACGAACACGAAACGACAGGTGACGACGACGGTGCACATCTGCCGAATGCATTAGCTCTTTACTGGAAAATTGGAGTGACAGCTTAAGAACACCACAAATGGAATGCAGGTACGTCACTGGACGTCTCCAGTGATATCCTCAGGACACTGCAGAGAGCTTTGTTAAGTGGAGCTCTGCAGGCCTGCTCCACTCCCCTGCTGCAATACAACCAAAAGAATAAAGCCAACTCAAAAGAATCCCTGTGACTCCAAGGGTGTCACACACACATACACAAATGTTTTGCCTCTGGCAGAAACCTTCAGACAGGTCTTTTTATTCCGCTCCCAAGAGCTGGAATTCTTTTGTGGCCGATCTGGTGGAGCTAGTCAGTTAGCCCCCTCTGCTTGGCAAAGCTTCGGTTCCTGGTTACCTCCTGAAATCAGCTCAGCGCGGGCGGTTGCAGCTGCCTTCCGTAGAGCTGCGCTTGGCCAAGATGCGTGGCTTGGAATTGAACAAGCAAAAGGTCTTTGAGTCTTTGGGTGTGTTTCAGAGAACGGCGATTTCAACACTGTAAGAGCATTGACACCGAGGTCTATGTCTCCATCTGATGCGCTAGGAAAGTGGAGGGCCTGGGAGAATTTCCTGTTTTCACTTCGTGAACGCAACCCACAACTGGCAGAATGCGAAGCTGCAAGTGTTCCAGCCCTGCCAGAAGTTTCCACCCCCAAAAGTCCATGGCCTAAAGCCACCAAGTTCAACATCCAAGCCTTGCTCACACTGCACTACGTAGCTGAGCGTGGTTTTTTTGAACGATGCCGAACTTTTGGACTGTGCTAAGCATTTTGACTTCCCCTTAAAGCTGATCCATGGCCAGTGTGACTGCATTTGCCCAGCAGAAAATGCCAGGGACTTGGCATCTGCAGTTGGGCAACATGCGGAATTGCTGCTCACAAATGCCGGCCACTCACAGTGGGATACAGATAATATCGATGCTTTTGTCCGGGCGACCGATGAAATCGCGTCTGAATGCCTGGTGACATGTTAGCTTATGTTTGCACAGATGTACTCAGTCGAGTCTCTCAGCTCCCTCATGTGGGATGGAGAGCACAAGTCTTGCTGCACAGACTACGCGCCAACAAAGAACCGCTCTGAAACTCTCAGCGTGAGACTTACCTGATAGGTGTGGGATACGTAAACTTTCTACACCTGGACTCTATATTAACATATATGACGACTTCTCAAGTTTAACGAATGATGCTTTCTGAGGTTTTAGCCGACCCACAGTTCACAACTACAGACCTGTTTACAACAGTACATCGACATGATGCTTTGTGGGAAAGTGTGTCAATGTGACCAGGTTTGCTCCACCAGATCGCTGCAACATGCACAGTTAAGCCGGGCAGTGCACTGCGTGTCATCTCCCGCACCTGCTTCAGTGTCTTTTTGAAGGTCAGCTGTGCCTCCGCCAGCAAATGGTTCCAAACAGTCTCGTTCTAGAACTCATACATGACACGCAGTCAGCCATTTTTGCAAAACAACATGTTCAACGTGGCCCACATTTTGACGGCGGGGGGCAGATGACCTGGCCCAGCAAGGCTCTCAACATCCTGGCAATGCAGTCAGGGATTAATTGCTCAAGCTTTGTGGCTTTGTGCAGACCAGCGCTGGTTGGAAAGACCTTGTTGCTGCCAAAAAGTTTGACCTAGGCTAGGTTACTGACAAATCAGCTCGGCAAGGAAGCCAACTCATAAAGTCATTCAGAGGCTTGCTTTTGACTCTTGACCGAAAGCCTGGCTTGCAAACAACTGCCAACATGGGGCAGACACGCAGAGTGCAAGCACCACGAATGATAATTGTGTGTAGGATGTAGGTGCACGTGTTTGTAACAGTGTCTATCTATGCAGGTAGATGTGCACTTTTAATGTTTTCACTTTGCACATTTTGCACACACACACACACACATCATTTTGGAAGCAAGGAACGCTGATAGCAAAGAAGTTGAGAGACATGCAGTTGGCTTGGGCTGTGGGGATTTCCCCCCCCAAAAGCATTGTAGTTCCAGACTTGATAGGCAGGCGGTGCCGGCCTCATTCCTTATGCAATGGCGAACAAATCTGTTGTGAAGAAGAGGTGCCTGACTAAGCAATTCCACCAGTCTTTCCAAAACGCAAAATAAATGACTTGTTTGGCTGTTCAATCTCACCGTTGTTGTGGCTTGCCATTCATGTTCACTGCCTTCAAGCTTCTCTGAAGAAGTAGGTGGTTGCTCGTGCAGACTTGGCGATTTTTGATTGTCAAACTTGTGTCAAGTGCCTCGTTGAGCAACAAGGGAGACGTTACAAACAGCACTAACTGGGTGTTGACCAACAAAGGCAAGCGCGTCCATTTCTACTATTATTTGCCACATAGGAAGTGTCCGTTGTGCTGGTGCGACGTTTGGATTTACCAAAAAAAAACAACAAGAATCCCAATGATTCGTCAAGAACAATCCACAGATTTGGACTCGCTCAACTCTGGACTCACAGATTTGGACTCCAGAGTCCAGAGTCCAGTACAATTGGGCTGATGAACAAACTGTCGGACTCTGGACGTTCCTTTTGGCAGTTCGACAGAAGCTACTAGGGGCTCCTGGCATCGCTACTAGGACGCTACTAGGGGCTCCTGGCCGTACTACTAGGAACAAAAGCTATTAGGGGCTCCTGGCCGTACTAAGAAGCAAAAGACCGTTTGAAGCGACCAAGGCGGCGGCGCCAAGTAGGCCGTGCGCCAAGTAGGACGGGTCAGGTGACAAGTTGACCGGCTGAACTGGACAGGTGACAAGGCTGACGGGACGGCTGCACAGCGGAAGAGACCGCTGGAGGTGAGAAAGAGCAACAGAGCCCGCAACTAGCTGACTCACTCATGATCCGTGGAAGGCAACAGAGCCTGAGATCCTTGATGACTTGCTGAATGCTCAAAGCTTAGATTTGAGTTCACTCCGTTTTGCTTTAGCTAGCAAGCGCGCACACCCACATACACGCGTAAGAAGGGAATGAAAAAAAACATCCGAGGAAGCAGTGCATGAAAACAGTCAGGACATACACGGAAGCGACCTGTAACACGGGCGCAGCACGGCCAAACCAGCATTGGAAACACAAGTGGCTCCGCACAAGCTGATGTCAGAGCAGTCCATGCTTCCCTCGTCATGGCTTCCTGTAAACTAGTTCAGTACAATTGGCTGATGCCTTCCGACCACATCGCGAAACGGAGATATCCCATACAGCGATGTACAGATGACACGAACACAACACATAACACACCTCGTGTGGGAGGTTTCCACAAATACCGGTAGCCCCGAACCTTGCTTGGGCATCGAGACAGGGATTGAGTTTGAATCTTCCCAGCGATGGTTTGGTAATTTTGCAGTTTCTCTCCCTCTCTGACATGCATGCAGGCTCCCATTTTGCGGCCACAGGTTCCTTCTGAAGTGCTTGGCGTGTCCAGGCGATTCGCTTTGCTTTACACATTCGGTCATACAAAAATGGGAAGGGCCTTCGGAGCCTTTGGAGCTTCAAATTCAAGGTCTTTACTCACTGTTCTTTGGCAGGCCATTGAAGAGGCGCCGTCTCCGTGCACCACTGAGGGTGCCAGACGTGTGGCAGACTTCAGCGAAAGAGTTCGGGGCTCAATGGGCTGGACTCAATAATTCGAGAGCACAATCAAACGAGTTCGTCGGATGTGCTGTTTGGCACGAGTTCTCCGCTCGCGTGGCTCGAGTTGAAATACAATGTTCTGGTTTTGTGGTTGCAGTGCGAGTCAATGCTGAGGCTCTTTCGTATTCGGCCAGCTCCAGAGCATTGTTCGCAGCCCAGAAGCGCCATGTTCGACCAACAGAATGCCAGGTTCATGTTGGATACTGCCGCATATTCATGGCCGAAGCGTTTTTGAGCTCAAAGACTGCTGTAGAAGCAGAATGCCGCAGGAACCATATAAGACTCTCGGTGGCAGAGTTCTAGGGTTCGTCAAACGTGTCAGATTGTAGTAGCGGCTGCTTCAAAAGCCATGCCCATGACAGGGAGGCCATCATCTATGGCGGGGTTTGCGACAAGGAGTTCCGTACATGGGTCAAGAACTTTATAGCCCCTGAGCTCAATCTTGAAAGCGTTTTTGAACTGCTGATTTGCACAACTTCACTGGCAAGATGTTGTGCAGTCAATGAGGAACCTCACGTGGTTGGCATCTCAGTTGTTGGGGTGGCATTTCTTGGTTTGAAACTGAAAGGCAGACAAAGATTGACACAGATCATAGAACCAATAAAGTGGCAAGGT